TATTCTGTTTTTTATCAGCCCCTTAGTCATACTGGACCAGAACATTTTGTTTGCAGCACAATCCACAGCCACCAAGCTACCAAGGTCAAGGATGCCCCCCATCAGCCTGTTTCTAGTTGGCCTTGCAGCTGATGCAAATAATTATCTTGCCATTTTCATCAGCCTCAAAGGCTTGTTCTGCACCAATGAATGATTCATATATTGTATTGCTGATGCAGTGAGTTTCAAAATTGCTGGTGCACACTTTTCATATTTCCTGAAGCATCATCACAATCAGAGAGCAATGTGTTTTGATTCCAGGAAACCATGGACATCCAGCATGTTGTCATGCAATCACAGCGGCCATTTGTGGACCAGCAGAAGTGCCTGGTCAGCTCGGACGTGCATGCGTCGTTGGGTGTCGCTGAAGGCCGTCTGGTGCTGGTGACCGCTGGTCGGCAGACTGTCATCTGCCGTCTGTACTCGCGGCCGGACCTGCGCCCGGGCACAATACTGGCTGACGGCTGCGTCACGTGTCGAGACGCCACCGAGCCGGCCGCCGGCGTGCCCATGTTCCGCTGCCCGCCGGAACGCCCTCTGCCGACGCTGGAGGTGACGGTCGTGTGTGACGCCGTGGAGGACGTGCTGCGGCTGCGGCGGCGCGATGCGGCGCGCGCCGCCGGCCGCCTGCTGGCTGGCCGCGGCGTCTCGGCACGCTGCCGGGTCAGCTGCGCCGGCACCCCGCTCGGCCCGCCGGCTCGGCGTCGCCTATGTGGAGTTGTCCGGCCCGGTCGGCGACCGCTGTTGGCACGGCGGACGCCGACACGTGTCTGACGGTGGCGGCGGTGGTGACGCGGCGACACGCGGAGTTCGCCGCCAAGCGGCCGCCCACCAGCGGCCACGGCGCGGGGCGGGCGCGGCTGACGGCAGCGGCGCGCCACTTCTGCCGCGTTGAGTCGGCGCGCTCCTCCAGCCTGCTGCTGCTCGGCCCGGCCGGCTGCGGCAAGGCGACGCTGGCGCGCGCCGTGGCGGCGTCGGTCGGCGCGCTGGCGCTGACGCTCCGTCTCGACGACCTGCCCGGCGAGCGGCCCGGCGCCGGCGAAACCGAGCTGCGCCGCCGTTTCGCCGAGGCGCGCCGCTTCGCCGACTGCGGGCCGCTGCTGCTGCTGCTGCGCGCCGCCGACGCCGTTGGCGGCGGCCCGCTGCTGCAGCTGCTTGCAGCTGTTGGACGAGGTGCGCAGCTGGCCGCGCACGCTGGCCGTGGCCACGTGCAGCCGGCCGGCCGACCTGGCGCCGGCACTGCGCAGCGCGGCGCGCTTCGACACAGAGGTACGCAGTGTCGCTGTCTCATGCGTCGAGGCTGGCGGTTGACTGTAGCACTGCTTACCGGCGTTCCCTTGGATCGGCTCGATGCTTCACAGAGCCGCCGGGCTGTCGTGGTGACGTGTCGGTGCGTCGACGCAGGTGCACCTAACGGTGGGGGACGCGTGTGACCGGCTGGAGCACCTGGAACACCTGCTGGCGGACCGGCGGCTGGTCGACTGCTCCCTGCAGCAGCTGGCCGACATGACGCCCGGGTACTCGGTGGCCGATCTGGTCTCCCTCTGCCGCGAGGCTGTGTTCGGACGTCAGGTTCAGGTCAGGGTCAGGCGTGCGCGCGCTCGGTCGCTGGGAGTCACGCGCTGGTACCTCGGTGTCTCGTTTGTCTCACCAGGCCGGATCGAAACCGCCCGGTCGAGGGAGGTATCAGCGTGCTCGGTTCAGTCAGAAGTCTGATGACCCGTGTCCGGTTGAGTGCGTGTCAGAATGTCTGGCTCCAGTTTGAGTTGTAAGTGTTCAGCTGCCGTTTAGGCGGGAGTGAACGTGTGTGTGACGTCACAGCGCTGCCTGGACTGAAGCATCTACCGACGCCGAGCAACGTGCCGGCCTCTTCTGATGCCACTGCCGGCCCTCCCCGCCCCGCCATCAGACGACCCGCTCTGACACTGGCCGACTTCACGCGCGCGCTGCACGTGATCCGCCCATCGGCGCTGAAGTCCGGGCCGGGCGCGGTTGCCGCTGCCGCCGCTGGCCTGGTCCCAGCTGGCGGGCGTCTCGAGCCTGCGCGCCCCGACTGCGCCGCTGCCTGGTGTGACGCCGCTGACGGTCCCGACGCGCACCGGCGCTTGGGCGTGCCGGCGCCGCGCGGTCTGCTGCTGCACGGGCCCCGCCCGGCTGCGCCAAGACGAGCCTGGTGCGCGCCGCCGCCTCCGAGTGCAACGCAGCCTTCCTCAGCGCCACGCCGGCCCAGCTGTTCTCGCCGTATGTCGGCGACTCGGAGCGCGCCGTCAGCGAGCTTTTCGCGCGCGCCAGGATGACGGCGCCGGCCGTCATCTCCTCGACGAGCTCGGTTGAGCGGGGAGACGAGGCAGGGGTTTAGAGGAACGCTGGCCTGGCTGGGGGTAGCCGCCCGCCCGCCGCTCGGCCGCCGGGTCTGGTGTCAGCGACCCGCCCGGCTTCGGTTTAGGCGTAGCTGGGTGGCCGAGGCACTGGAGGGGCTCTGTTTTTCGCCCGCTGGCCGGGTTTAGCACAGGTGAAACACTGGCTCACCACTGGGCGAGCCATGGCGCTGCCTTGCCTTTGTCTCTGTCCTTGCCCAGGCCTGAGAGCAGCATCCGGTTCGGGCAGCGTCTGTCTTTTGAAATCGTCGCAGCTTGCGACAGGGCTGTGCGCCGTCGCGTCTGACCGCTGCCTGTGGCGCCAGCCTGAGCTCTTACCGCCCACTCCAGACGCCATCGTAGGCACGCGGAGCAAGAGCGGCCAGTCGGGCGTGCAGGCCAAGCTGCTGTCGGCGCTGCTGAACGAGATGGACGGCATCGGCATCCGGCAGGACCAGGCGGTGAGTGGCCTGCCGTCGCTTTCCGCGTGCTGACACGGGCTGGACCCGTTGCACGGCTGTCGTCTGTGACAGGCGGCAGTGGACTCAGTGCCGCAATTGCCTGTTAGAAAGATCGGCCATGGACGGTGGAATAAGACATGGGCGCGTCAAGTCGTTAGGATCAACACTCATGTAGAGAGAGAGGGTTATGAGACGGTTCAAACCAATGAGTCAAAGCCCTCGCACCAATATATCCGTCCCAGGCAGCGAGGGCCTTCGGGAAAACAAAGAGTCCGCAAACCCAGCCAACGCCGCAGGCTGGAGGTACCGGCGTCAGCGCCCGTGCTCGATACGCCCGTCTGTTGCAGGCGGTGGACAGGGCCGTGTTTGTGGTGGGCGCCACCAACCGGCGGGACCTGATCGACGAGGCCCTGCTGCGGCCCGGCCGGCTGGACCAGCACATACGCGTGCCACTGCCAGACCTGCAGGCGAGGCAGGAGATACTGCAGGCAAGGGATGAGCTCTGCAGGCCCAGTGGAGTGTGAACACCAACAGGCCATTTCGGGCAATGGCCCGTAACTGTTCCGTATACGGACACTTGTTGAAGGTTACGTTCCCTGACATTCTAACTCGGCGCAATGGGTCCTAAGTGGTTAAAGATGTGTGATTCTGAAACACATCACGAAAGAATCGCCTACGATCACCCCTCAACGTTCATCACCTCGCAGCGTTTAGGTCAGCATGCTGCTGCAAACAAGCATGATGCTGGTGAACAACCTGGCGTGACCGAGCCCCGCGTCCGTGGTAGCCCGAGGCTGCGTGTCGCCTGAGGTGACCAGAGTGTGCGCCGCCGTCGCTGCAGCTGTACCTGTCCAGGATGCCGACGGCCGGGGACGTGTCGGTGGCGCAGCTGGCCCGGCTGACAGACGGCTTCTCCGGCGCCGAGCTGCGGCATCTGTGCAACGAGGCCGGCCTGGCGGCGCTCACCGAGGACCGGGCGGCCACCGCCGTCCGCCGCCGCCACTTCAGCCATCAGCTGGTGACGGAGCCGGAGCCGGAGCCGGAGCCGGAGCCTGAGCTGGAGCCTGTCGACGCGGCAGGCTCTCCAGTGGAGATGTGGCGCCGGCGTCTGACGTTCGCCACTTCAGCCATCAGCTGGTGACGGAGCCGGAGCCGGAGCCGGGGCTGGAGCCGGAGCTGGAGCCTGTCGACGCGGCAGGCTCTCCAGTGGAGACGCGCGCCGGCGTCTGACGTTCGCCACTTCAGCCATCAGCTGGTGACGGAGCCGGAGCCGGAGCCGGAGCTGGAGCCTGTCGACGCGGCAGGCTCCAGCTCGTCGGCGTCGACGAGCTGGAGCCTGTCGACGCCGGCGCGCGTCACGCGCCGGCGTCTGACGATCGCCCGGCGCTGGAGCGCGCCGGCACCACCGGAAGTGATGATGGGCTGGGAGCTCAGAGCAGGCCACCACGCGCGATGACTCGGCGTCAAGCGCTTGTGCTGGTCTCGACATGCGCTCGCGCCGATACTTCGTGGGAGGGCCGAGCTGCTGTGGAATCACTGAGGTGATGCGAGTCCACAAAGGCACGCAGTTTCGTTGACAGCCTGCACTACATTCTAATAAGAGTCCGCCCGCTGAGTCTTGCAGCTGGTTGTTCCGGAAATGACGGGGAGGGGAAGGCTGTGATCCAGGTCTAAATGGTGCTACTGATGCGTGGTGTATGGTAGAAATGCATTGGGTTTGCGATATCCCCGTTTAATCGTGAGTTTTGATGAGTGAATGAATTGTCGAAATCGCCGGCGCCTTTCCGCAAAACATACGAAACTGCCGTGTGGCCCAGCCAGCTTGGCGTTCCCGTGCAATGGCAAGCACACGCCACCGGGTGATTCTGCGGCCCGAACGAGCTCTTACTGGACTCCAACTCCTCGCGACGCAACCCTTACCGTTTGGGCTATATCATGGGCTCTCACGGCGTGGGTGGAGTGTGAGATTGCCGCGGGTCCCGGCCTGAGCGCGCCGGCCGGCAAGGGCACGGGGTCTGAATCACTCCCCTCGCAGGCAGCGGAGCACCGAGGGTGACCTTTGTCACCCTCCGACCAGTCCCATCCAGAGCGTGAGTGCCGACCAGAGCGCCCGCTGGCTCCCGATATGCAGACAGACAGCGGCTACACAAACGTCTGCGCGTGTATTGACGTGACACCGAGCGTGAAACAAGCAAATGATCGCTTTCGACTGAATGGGGGCATGTTGGCGTGGGTGACGCGGGACGCGAGACACGGGCGGGCGGCTACGTCTTGCCCTGCTGCGCCTCCTTCCGGGTGGCGTCCTGCAGCAGCTGCGTGTCGATCTCGTCAGCAGGCAGCTGCACGTACCGCACCACTGAGCCGCGGATAAAGCAGTTCTTCACTGACAGCTGCCAGTAAGGATGCTGGAGTCACGCTCGGCGGCGGGGCTATTTTCTACACATATAAACATAAAGTAATATGATATATATATATATATATATATATATATATATATATATATAATATTTCTTACACGCAACGACTGGCCGGGGGGGGGGGGCTATTTTTATACATAGGCCGTGCGGGTCACGGTTCGTATCATCTGCCCCACACTGAGAGGTATCTAACCACGAAACAAAACCCAGCGAATGGTTTGGAATCAGGACTCAGTTCTCGAGCAATGACCGGCTTGCCACCTCAGGCCAACCAATGACAAGCCATCATGTCATCATGTCAACATTAATACTCGCACTGGTGGCCGCCTGGGCCAGCTCCACACTGATGAAGGGAAGAGTGTACTAGAATTTACCATTTGTGGCGAGGTGTCTGACGCAAAATGGGCATTTAGTGAAGGGCCTTCGTACCGATTTAGCGGTGCCATGCTCGCCGAACTCCGTCGAGGCGCAACACGCATTGATCGTGAGTTTGAAGCGGGCATGGCGGCGAGGTCATGTTTTCGGCGTCAAAGCTGAATCCGACGCCACGACAACGACAAAGCTACAGTCGGGGCCGAAGGCGGCGGCCTCGAAGTTCGCATCGGCGGAGCCGAACCTGAAGGTCATGGCTTCGTATTTAAACACGGAAAACCGAAGCCGAAACCAGCACCTTCAAACTTGGAGAATGCGAGGCGACGGCCAAACCCATCAGTCCAAAATCCCGAGGCCGAGGCCTACGCCGATCCTAGTGTACAACGTTGCTTTACAGAACCACGCGTTTTTGCGTCTTTTAAAGCGTTGGATCAGGCAATGCAAGGGCTTTGCGGAGTGACCGAGACAAGTGATTTTTGTGGAGCGAAGCCGGAGCCGCAGTAAAAATAGCCATGACAACGCCGAATCCCGCAGTGCTAAATCGCGTGGGGTCGAGGACGGATTTAGCGTTCTAGATTGCATGGAGTTGAAGCCAAAGCCGTAATGAAAAACTTGTTCAAGACTGAAGCCCAAGAGACAGGCAGCAGTTCAAAATGTCAAAGCAGAAACCGAAGACGAATCTGGGATCAGCCGTAGACAATGCCTCAAAGCCAAAGCCACATCTGAAGCCATCGGGGAAAACCTGGTTTTGCAAAGTCGGAGCCAAAACAATACAATTTTGTGAGGGTACATCAACAGTATTTAACCCGAGGTTTAACAGCTTGTTTGCATTAAATGCCAATTTAGAGACACAATCCTCACCATATGCGGGTACTTGTCCTGGTCGATGACGCTGATGTCTGTGAGTTTGATATTGAGGTACTGGTCCACAGAATGCAGTGTCCCACATATGCTGGCAAAGAGAGAAACAAAGGGTGAGCATGTTACCACCAATGACACCACGCCAATGTCTCACCCCTAAGCTGGTGCGATAGGAGAGAGAATGACTATGCAGCATTGGGAAAGGATGTTAACTTCTGCTTAAAATGCCACAATAGCATTTAATACTCATTAAAAAGTTGTAGCCCAGCATCATACCCATACTCCACACAAGCAGGCGAATTTTCCACTCTGTGTGAAGGATGATATCAGCATTGTCCCCACATCCAGTGCTGTGGTTCATGTGTACAAATATGAAGACCTGTTAAACAAGGTGCACACTTTGCAATAGCAACACTTCAGTGCACATGTGGCAAAAACCATGGACAAGACTGCAGCAGAAGTGCCCACATGGCTGCCAGTGATGTAATCCTCTTGCTCACCTCAGGTCATTTTTTCAGCTCCACCACCACATCCTTCCCCACCAGTGACTTGAAGAAGGAGTAGAACAGCTGTAATAAAATAGGGCATTAACAGTTGCACACATAGGTGTAATGCCTGTGCAACCATGTGTTTTCATTATCTTTATTCCTATGCCTTATTCCACAGAGGAAACCAGGAGAATGGATATATAGTTGAGTTGATATTTGGGCAATATGCCTTTATTGAAATAATAGCAGAAGTGAATTTCAAATTTTGTTCAAAACTGGCCACAGGATGTCATGTACATGGGTGTACAATTTGCTACAGTCAAGGCAGTCAGGGGCCCTACAACCACACCTCTCTACCAATCAATGTTGACAGCAGGAGACAGGAGCTTAAGCAAAGTTGGGGGTGCAACCCTTGGCTTATGATTTCTTAAATGCCATATTTTGGGTAAAAGACAGTGGATATGAAGTTCAGCAGTGCTGTGTATGGTATGATGGATGGGCCTATTGTTTGACCTGGCCAAGGCTATGCCAGTGCAAATACGGCTATGATTTTTTCTGGCACAAATTGTCCCATCTTGTTCTCCATATTTAAGCCCAGAAAAAGGCAGACCAAAAGTCTGGGGTGCCGGTCATGTAGTGGTTAGCACATCTGTGTTGACCACTATGTGTCTGGGAAACCAGAGGTGCCGGGTTTTCATTCCATGCTGTGCCCGACCTTCCTGTCGGGGTGAGAGGCAGGCAATGCCATATAGCCTCAGTAGTTAAGTGCATTGTAAAGCCCCCATGACACAGGCACCAGAATGCCTGATGGGCTGGATCAGGCCTGCTTTGCTAGTGGTCTCAGGGGACACCCAAAAGGCTGAACCCAGCAACTGTTCTTAACCTGAACCTGGAGCCACTGCCATCCAAGAATCCACAAAAGCTTTATGACAGATATATTAACCAGGTCAGTTCCATTTTTCTAAAGTCAATAGTAAAGTTCTACATTTTCCCCAAATTGGAGGCAGCCATCCCTTTCCCTAGTCTGCATACATTAGGCCAAAAATAGGCTTGACCTTATAAACCACGAAAAAATACTTCATGCCTTCACCAGCAGGCAAACATCAATCAGGGGTGGCACCTGTGATCTTGAGATGGAGAGAGGATTTCTATGAAGGGCTCCTCCACAACATGGGGCCTATCACACCTGATATCCAAGTGAATAAATGTAACCAATAAAGAAATCCCAATAGGACTCTGATCATCTTTCAAAGGACCTCACCTTTTTAAATAGAGCTTCTGTTCCAGAAAAAGGACCTCCTGATGCATAGAGAGGCCTCATTATCCAAAAGAGTATGATCATGATTTACGAAGGGCCTCCAACTCTAGCAAGTAAAGCACAAGTGTAATCTAAGCATTAAGTTTTGGGCACTTGGGGGCATTGTCACCACCAATTTCAGAGCATCATACACAAGTGTTGTAGCCTTATGATGTTGTTAATGTAAATGCAGCTAAAAATTATCCAAGGACATGTTTTAAGGCAAAAACAATTGAAGGTCTAGTGCACTTGGGTATGATCTGAGTTTGACCTATGCAAGCTAGAGGTTCAAGTGCACTGATGTTGTGCAGGCAGGATAATTTGTTGCAGAATGACTTGCAATTATCTTAACAACATAATTCCCTGAAACACTGGCTATCTTTGGGCAGACAGCAGTTGCCATCATGCACACAACTCTAAATGCCAGGATTTGTGGAGTGCACAGAATGAAATAGCTACTGCAATGTCACTACAACACAAACACTTAATATTGCTTTCACATCTAAACTTTCACATTTTAACTTGGTGTAAGCAACAGGCACTGATATTCTGAACAAGTGGTATGGGGCAGCTGGCACCCTGCCAGTGGATAATTCCCCTAGTCCAACAACAAACCCCCACCTTTGCAGGTCACTGCTGTTATATAATATTTTGCAGCTAATCACCACCATATCTTCACTAGGTGGACATCCCAGCGATTTCAAGCAGCTAGCAGAACAAAACAATTCGGGAGTCATTTCTGATGGATCAGTCGATAACAGGAATGCCTTCCAAACAAATCCAAGTAACACATGCAAACTTACCATTTTTCCTTCCGCGCTTTTGAGGAAGTTCTTGTCTCTTGCCTGACTACACTCTTGCCTCTCTAAAGCTCAATTGCAAATTAAGTGGACAGCCCTCCAACAGCGGCAGTTTTTTTTCGACAACTAACGCCGGTTACATGCCGCTGAACAACCCAGGCCATGAACACACTGGTTTCTATATTAAATCTTCACATTGCACCGAACTTGGACACCGTCGCAAACGCGCATTATTCGACTTCATCCACTTTATTATTTGTAATCTTAAATAAAACTTTTTTCACTAAAGACAAAACGTTATTTCATAAGCACGATATGGAAAAGAGGAAAATAAGCAGGAAAAACGATCCTTTTTTGCATGTAGCAATTTATTTAACAGCTTTTTTCGCAGAAAGGTCTAAGGTCATGCTGATCGCTCACCATTCTCTCATCGATTCATCAATCTTCTGCATTGACATTATTCTATATCTATTTTGCATGAAATTCGGAGAAGCTCATTCATAAAAAGTCAGGCGCTTACCCTTAATTTGTGTCTGTACTCAATGCAATGAGGCCCAAGCCGAGTAAACCTGACCAGGTGATTTAGCACAGTAGTTTAACCTTTTTAGTTCGATTGTATGTAGTTTAGTGAATCCAGATTTATGACTGTAGTTAAGCGTCGTAGTATTTCCAGCGGAGTGTGCTGGCGGCAGAACGAGACCCCGGGCCAAACGGTGTTGGGATGATGGTTCTTTGATTACAGATTGTCATAAAGCCCAGGTGATTTTAAAGCTTCATCAGAATCTTGGCCTCTCTAATGCATGGCCTTCCTGATTTGGCGATTCGGTCACAGTTTTGTGATTCCTCATAAAACAAGATAGGTTCTGTGGTCATGCGAACTGTAATATGCCTACCCGTGTGTAAGACGGCAAAAATTAGCGTTAATCTGAACATGTACAGTGTAACAGTGAAATCGCGGCAACAAGTGCAACGCACTTATGTTTCCAAACTGTGCTCAGAGTTAAGCATACAGTATTCACTAATTTGAGTGCTTTGAGAGCTAATGTGTGAGAGAATTGTGATTTGCTAGTGCAGTTGCAAGCAAACATTCTCTGAAACCTAATTTTTGAAAGCAAAAGTAAAAATGATGTCACTGATAGCACTATTCGGTTTTCTTCAAGTACTTCACCCTTTTTTAGAAGAAGACAAATCTCCACCGCGAGCGTTTTACGCGCAGTGCGGCACGGGCTCAACCAGCTCGCGTTAGCAGGATTGCCCGACTTTGAAATCATACAATCCAAACGACATCTTTAGCACCAAAAGTAATGAGCAGGCAATTAACACCATTCACTACGTCGTTTCGACCACTGCTACTCACAATGCTCGCATGATTGCCTATCATCTTCAAGAAATAACCATCTGATAATATAATAATTTCGGCCACAAACAGGTCATATGATTTTTAACACGCAGACAGCCGACGATTTATAGCATGTACTAAAAGGGCAACATAAGCACCAAATTACGTACCTTCGAGCAATCAAGAAAATTATCCCAGTTCTTCACATTCGTGTCTCGAGTTGATGTTTCCAAACAGACAGCACAGAGAAAAACCCAACAATGTCGGCGGAAATGAAGCATTTCCGGCATTCTTAAAAAACGGACCAAGCCACGGGAACCAAACACCGAAGCCAAGCCAACGTTTTCGGTGCGGTACATTGGACGTCTATTAGCGCAGTGCATCTCATACACGAGTCCGGATAATGTGATTCACACTTATTAGGACCAAACACATCGTGACGACATTGTCGCTTAAACTACAACACTTGGGTTCAATTAATATGACTACTCCGTTGCCGTGACATGCTGCAATCATGTGCAGAGGGACTGTCGTAGTACCCTCTTAAAGTAGTGCACCTCCTGTACAATTCCAACGAGCAAGGCTTGAAATCGCTCTGACATCTAGAGACATACTCTGCCGAGATCATATGCCAACAGCCACCCTAAGGAAACGGATCAAGCCTCGGGAAACGAAGACTGAAGCAAGGCCAGCGCTTTCGGTACGGTACATATACGTCTGTTAGCGTAGTGCACCTCACACACGAGTCCGGATAATGCAATTCACACCTTTAGAACTGAACACGTCGTGCTGACAATGTCGATGGAACTGCAAGACTTCGGTCCGATGAATAAGACTCATGCATTGCCGTGAGATGCTGCAATCATGTCGTGCAGAGGGACTGTCGTAGCACCCTCTTAAAGTAGTGCACCTCTTGCACAATTCCAACGAGCAAGGCTTGAAATCGCTCTGACATCAAGAGACATACTCTGCCGAGATATTATGCCAACAGCCACCCTACGGAAACGGATCACGCCCCGGGAAATGAGGACTGAAGCAAGGCCAGCGTTTTTGGTACGGTACATATACGTCTATTAGCGTAGTGCACCTTATACACGAGTCTGGATCATGCGATTCACACTTATTAGGACCAAACACATCTTGCTGACGATGTCGGTGGATATGGCAGACCACGGTCCGATGAATAAGACTCATGCATTGCCGTCAGATGTTGCCATCATTGGCGGACGGACTGCAGTAGCACCCTCTTCAAGTAGTACACCTCTTGTATAATTCCAATTGGCGAGACCTAAAAACCACTCTGACATCCAAAGACGTTCTCTGCCGAGATAATATGCCAACAGCCACGCTAAGCAAACGGACCAAGCCCCGGGAAACGAAGACTGAAGCAAGGCCAGCGTTTTCGGCACGGTACATATACGTCTGTTAGCGTAGTGCACTTCACGCGAGTCCGGATCATGCGATTCACACTTATTAGGACTAAACACATCTTGCTGACGATGTCGGTGGATATGAAAGACTTTGGTCCGATGAATAAGACTCATGCATTATCGTCAGATTTTGCCGTCATTGGCGGACGGACCGCAGTAGCACACTCTTCAAGTAGTACACCCTCTCGTATAATTCCAATTGGCGAGACCTAGAAACCGCTCTGACATCCAAAGACGTACTCTACCGAGATAATATGCCAACAGCCACCCTAAGGAAAACGGACCAAGCCCAGGGAAACGAAGGCTGAAGCAAGGCCAGCGTTTTTTGGTATGGTACATATACGTCTGTTGGCGTAGTGCACCTCACACACGAGTCCGGACAATGCGATTCACACTTATTAGAACTAAACACTTGCTGACAATGTCGATGGAAATGCAAGACGTCGGTCCGATGAATAAGACTCATGCATTGCCGTGAGATGCCGCCATCATGTCGTGCAGAGGGACTGTCGTAGCACCCTCTTAAAGTAGTGCACCTCTTGTACAATTCCAGTGAGCAAGGCCCGAAATCGCTCTGACATCCAGAGACATACTCTGCCGAGATGATATGCCAACAGCCACCCTAAGAAAACGGACCAAGCCCCGGGAAACGAAGACTGAAGCAAGGCCCAGCGTTTTCGGTACGGTACATATACGTCTGTTAGCGTAGTGCACCTCATACACGAGTCCGGATCATGCGATTCACACTTATTAGGACCAAACACATCTTGCTGATGATGTCGGTGGATATGCAAGACTTCGGTCCGATGAATAAGACTCATGCATTGCCGTCAGACGTTGCCATCATTGGCGGACGGACTGCAGTAGCACCCTCTTCAAGTAGTACACCTCTTGTATAATTCCAATTGGCGAGACCTAGAAACCACTCTGACATCCAAGACGTACTCTGCGAGATAATATGCCAACAGCCACGCTAAGCAAACGGACCAAGCCCCGGGAAACGAAGACTGAAGCAGGGCCAGCGTTTTCGGTACGGTGCATATACGTCTGTTAGCGTAGTGCACCTCACACACGAGCCCGGATCATGCGATTCACACTTATTAGGACTAAACACATCTTGCTGACGATGGTATAAGGTACGCTGCGCTTATAAATATATATGTACCGTACCGAAAACGTTGGCCTCGCTTCGGCCTTCGGTTTCCGGGGCTTGGTCCGTTCTCTTAGAATTGCTGTTGACACGTTATTTCGGCACAGTGTGTCTTTGGATGACGAAGCCGTTCTTAGGTCTCGCCAACGAATTATGCAAGAGGCGCACTACTTTAAGAAGGTGCTACTACAGTCTGTCCGCACATGATGGTGACATCCCACGACAGTGCATGAGTCTTATTCATTGAATCAAACCATTGCAGCTCAGCCGACATTGTCGGCACAATGTGTTTATTCTACTTAGTGTGAATCGCGTTGTAAGGGCTCTTGTTTCAGGTGCACCGCACGACTAAACGTATATGTACCGTACCTAAACCGTTGCCTTTGTTTCGGTCCTCGGTTCCCGGGGCTTGGCTTTGTTCCTCAGGGTTCGTGTCGGGATGTTATCTCGGCGGGGTGTGTCTTTGCCTTTCAGAGTGGTTTTTAGGTCTCGCCAATCGGAATTATACAAGAGGTGTACTACTTTAAGAGGGTGCTACTACAGCCTGTCCGCACATGATGGCAGCATCTCACGGCAATGCATCAGTCTTATTCATCGGACCGAAGTCTCGCAGTTCCACCGTCATTGTCAGCACGATGTGTTTAATTTCCATAAGTGTGAATCGCCTGATCCGGACTCGTGCATGAGGTGCACTGCGCTAATAGACGCATATGTGCCGTACCGAAAACGCTGGCCTAGCTTCAGTCTTCGGTTCCAAGGCTTGGTCCGAATCCTTAGGATTTTTATTGGCATATTATCTCGGTAGAGAATGTCTTTGGATGCCAGAGCGGTTTTTAGGTCCCACCAATTGGAATTATACCAGAGGTGTACTACTTGAAGAGGGTGCTACTGCAGTCCGTCCGCCAATGATGGCAACATCTGACGGCAATGCATGAGTCTTATTCATCGGACCGTGGTCTGGCATATCCACCGACATCGTCAGCAAGATGTGTTTGGTCCTAGTAAGTGTGAATCGCATGATCCGAACTCGTCTGTAAGGTGCACTGCGCTAATAGACGTATATGTACCGTACCGAAACGCTGGGCCTTGCTTCAGTCTTCTTTCCCGGGGCTTGATCCGTTTCCTTAGGGTGGCTGTTGGCATAATATCTCGGCAGAGTATGTCTCTGGATGTCAGAGCGATTTCAAGCCTTGCTCGTTGGAATTGTGCAAGAGGTGCACTACTTTAAGAGGGTGCTACGACAGTCCCTCTGCACGACATGATGGCGGCATCTCACGGCAATGCATGAGTCTTATTCATAGGACCGAAGTCTTGCAGTTCCATCGACATTGTCAGCACGACGTGTTCAGTTCTAAGGGTGTGAATCGCATTATCCGGACTCGTGTGTGAGGTGCACTACGCTAACAGACGTATATGTACCGTACCGAAAACGATGGCCTTGCTTCAGTCTTCGTTTCCCGAGGCTTGATCCGTTTCCTTAGGGTGGCTGTTGGCATATGATCTCGGCAGAGTATGTCTCTGGATGTCAGAGAGATTTCAAGCCTTGCTCGTTGGAATTGTACAAGAGGTGCACTACTTTAAGAGGGTACTACGACAGTCCCTCTGCACGACATGATGGCAGCATGTCACGGCAAACGAAGTAGTCATATTAATTGAATCCAAGTGTTGTAGTTTAAGCGACAATGTCGTCACGATGTGTTTGGTCCTAATAAGTGTGAATCACATTATCCGGACTCGTGTATGAGATGCACTGCGCTAATAGACGTCAATGTACCGCACCGAAAACGTTGGCTTGGCTTCGGTGTTTGGTTCCCGTGGCTTGGTCCGTTTTTTAAGACTGCTGGAAATGCTTCAGTTCCGCCGACATTGTTGGGTTTTTCTCTGTGCTGTCTGTTTGGAAATATCAATTCGAGACACGAATGTGAAGAACTGGGATACTTTTCTTAATTGCTCGAATGTACGTAATTTGGTGCTTATGTTGCCCTTTTAGTACATGCTATAAATCGTCGGCTGTCTGCGTATTAAAAATTATATGACCTGTTTGTGGCCGAAATTATTGTATTATCAGATGGTTATTTCTTGAAGATGATAGGCAATCATGCGAGCATTTTGAGTAGCAGTGGTCGAAACGACGTAGTGTATAATGTTAATTGCCTGCTCTTTATTTTTGGTGCTAAAGATGTCGTTTGGATTGTATGATTTCAAAATTGGGCAATCCTGCTAACGCGAGCTGGTTGAGCCCGTGCCGCACTGCGCGTAAAACGCCCGCGGTGGAGATTTGTCTTCTTCTAAAAAAGGTGAAGTACTTGAAGAATACCCTATTTTACTTAGCGTAAGTTGTATGTATGTAAGCAGGGGGCTTGGAGAGTGGATAATATCCTGTAGGTATCTGGTGTAGGAATGTACTTCTTGCTTATTTATCTATGTGCTTGACTGGTTCTATGAGAGTGCAGTTGAGGATGGAGGAGGGTGGGATGGATGCAGTTTGTTTCAGGTCCAAGATTTTGTGCAGTGCCATGGGATAAGTTTTAAATCTTAGATTTTCAGTGGAATACTCCATCCTGTCAGTGGTGCTACCCCCATCATTGTATCTTACTTTTCTGCACTGACCATACTGACACCTCTTCATTTGTACTGACCTACTGATGCCTCTTCATTTAGCACACAGAGAATTGCAAGTTGCAATGGATTTTGGAAGCCCAGAAAGTGTCAAAGATTTCCCTGGTCTTTATGGACATGAAAGAGAACCTGGTAAGTGCTGTTTGGTGTGGAAATGGTGCAAGTTGGTGTTCATCACTGTTTCTATCAGGGATTTTTTCTCCCATAGAAGGTTTGTGTAGGAATGTGATGCCGTAGAGTGAATCCATGAAATGCTACGCTAAAAACAAAAGCTGTTGGTATAAAACAGCTTAATAGGTATATATTAGCAGGTAAAGCACTTGTTGATGTAAATAATAAGTCCACTCATTCAGTTTTTGCAGTCCACAGTGCATAAATAAAGTTTAGAAAAGCATTAGCATCCATTTAACATGGTGCAAGAGTGCTTAACATTGTAAAGCTAACCTGCCATCTATTGGTAATTTTCATAATTTCAAGCATGAAACATAAGAAACTAAGGAAGGGAGCACTGAGCTCAGGCCACATGTTTCCACAAGAAGGAATTGAATCTGTTTGGAGGGCTGTACCTCCCCCATGCTCCACCCCTAATGCTCCCCCAATGCTGACTTGGTATCTCCACAAGCACATTGGCCTCAGTGTTTCCAACACTGAGCAAAGACCCAGGTGGAATCTCTAGGCTACCTGTCTTCCAAATATGTGATGTTTTTATTCTGATGTGGTAACAAATATGTGATGTTTGGCTGCCCTGCTGTAACAGTTGGGACACACCTGTTCAATCATGCCAGTCAAAATCTCATGGAACATGAGCCTGCTGATGTATTGATCAAACCTATCATTATCGGTAGCTGAAATGATCTGGTTTGATCAGCTTAGTTCATGCCATCAGATACATGATGGCAAACAGCAACTCAGATATCTGGCATTGTCTTCTTGTTTTACACGACACAAGGTGTCTTATCAGCCCCAAGCATTCCATCTCAGAATGCACTGCACAGTAATTTTGTCAGAGATCATTTCATCTGTGCTTTGCTTTTAACTTCTGCAGGCTTGTTTCAAACAGTCTAAGATTCTGTGGAACCCACAACCACTGGCATTCAGATGACCCGAGCTTCCACTGCTTGTGGTACTTTGTCACCTGCGATCAGTGTTGTGTTTTTTGGGGGGGAGGAAGTTTGAAATAAGCTGGTGATATATCAGGAGCTAATAGTCAGATCAGACACATCCATACTGCACTCAATAGCCCAGGTCAACTTCACTTCAGAATTGGTGCATTGACAATGACTTCATGAATGGTGACAACATGTTGCGCACAGTGTTAATGCCACACAAATCTTTGAGAATGAATTCAGGCTTGTCTTGCATCTGTCATATTGATTGTTGAAATTTATAGCTTGAAGCAGAATAAAGAGCTTGTTTTTGCAGTTCACAATCATGCTGAGGGTAGCAATGGCCATGTTGTGGACAATGTGGTAACACGGTTATGCCTAGTCAAGTTCAGGCCACCTGACTGGACATAATTAGCCTGCTCCTCTGGTGCACATTGTGCTGAAACACGTCGGTTTGAAAATGTTCCAGTTGCTGTGCCTTAGTTATTGTGAATTGGTGAGAGAAATAAGTTTAGTTTGTTATCTGTGGTTCACATCACATGGCATTTGACGGCGATCTAGTGTGATCTGGAGTAGTGTACCCGGATTCCTGAACCAATTGGCGAATGACATTTAGCCGAATGCTGTTACGCCGAGAATGAAAAACACGAATGTGTTTTGCTGTTACGTGAAAAAGCGGACAGCTAACCGACAAAATGTGTATTGATGGCATGGCATGGGTCTCATGGACCTTGAATGTTACAGATAGTGATTCGGAGAGCCATGGGAGTAAGCAGCTGATTAGCAAGCGCAAAGACAAGAAGGAAAAGGATATTGGCTATGCCGCTCTGGGTGACAGCTCGGGAGATGAAGAAGAGGATGGAAAGTAAGACTATGCAGATCAGTTGACATCATTTTGACAACAGTAGGGCTGAAGTGATTTTCTCACTTAATAAAGGCTCTGATTTACTGTTTTGGACAACAGCCCACAAAAAGTGTAGGGCGAAAAGCAGAGTGATGTTCATTGGTTTATATTGTTTTATTGGCAGAATGGTTGGGGTAGCTCTCTGGTTTTGAAGCATTAGCTCAGTGTAAAACATGTGTGAGGGCGGCATGGCCGTGGTGAACAATGTTTAAATGCCTGTTACTGTTTGTGTGGTGCTGGTAACTGAAGTGGCTTGTGATGTTATGATGTGAGGTATTATTTCGAAGTGTACCATCTGTTATTGTAGTTTGCTAGCGTAAATGAAGTGCTAAAATTTGCTGTGACAAATTTGTAGAACATACATGTGTGCAACCTTCACTTGTCGTGAACACCAGTAAGGTCTCGAGGATTCGATCGCTAAACGATCTCGAGGATCTTACGCTGCGGGCATGCCCGATTGAGGATTTCATCAATGAAATATTTCGAGGAACTTATCCTGTGGACATGCTCGATTGTTGTGCATTGGAGACGCACTGGCTCGTCTGCAGGCAGTAGCGTATTTTCTCATGAGTCGAGCTGTTGCCATGGCTGCCCCTCGTTGATGCATGTCAGCTCCCCAAAAAGAAGTAGCCTTATCCTGCAGCATTGGGGGGGGGGGGGGGGGGGGGGGGGGGGGGGGGGGGGGGGGGGGGGGGGGGGGAAGCGTCGAACCGTTTATTCCGAGGAATGCGACACGTAATTGTGTTTCAGGAGCCCTCTGAGAGGAAAGTTGGGAAACCCTTTTAAGTTCTCGAAGAAAGAGAAGCGTGAAAAAGAAAAGAAAGAGCAGCACAGGGAGAAGGAACAAAAAGTAAAGGAAGCGAAAGAAAAGGAGCACAAACTGAAAGATTCTAAAGAAAAACAAAAGGAGGATAAAACAAAAGAAAAAGCAAGAGAGGAAAAGGCGAAAGATAAAACGAAGGAAGAGAAGCTGAAAGAGAAGGAAAAGCAAAAAGAGGAAAAGAACAGAGAAAAGGAGAAAACCAAAGAGAAGGGAAAGGAAAAAGGAAAGGATGAGAAGACCAAAGAAAAGTATAAAGACTCTAAGGAGAAGTTGAAAGACACGAAAGAACTTAAGGATTCTTCAAAAGACTCACATGAAGAACGGAAAAAGAAGAAGAAAGATCAGAGCAAGGGAAAAGAAAGAAAAAAGTCAGATCCTGGTAAGTGAGATCACACCCAAGCCGACATAGATCTTATCCATCGGCCCTCATACCCAGTGCCTTTCCGTTTAAGGCAGGCTTGTATGACAAAATGTCCCGAAAAAGTATCTAATGCTACGACTCATGTCCGCCTGGTTAGCTCAGTTCAGGAGCTCAGTTGGGTAGAAGGCTTGCCTTCCGATTCACCCAGCCGTGACGGGATGGATTTGAGTCGCTTTAGGCACTCGCTATTTGCTCCTCCCGGGATGGTCTGCGGGCAGAAGTAGCGTACATGCCAAACGTCAGGTGACGTCAGATGGGAGGACTAACTGTACCGATCATTGTAGCACGGTAAACTTTCGCCCGCAAATTTTGCCGTTTACTCGAAATTTCGTGATTGGGTGGCAGAGTCACGGGGTCACTCAAGCAGTGCTTGGCGTGGGCGCTGGTCCTAGAAATACATCGAACCAAAAACCCAATCGACCTTAATGTTAAACACTTCCGACAGTTGAGACGTCACTTTGCATTTAACGGTTGCACTTATCGCTATGTTTGTGCACCTGCGGCCGCCCCCCTCCCCCCCCCCCCCCCCGCCCCGTGGGATCTGGTGTCACCTTTCCCCGGCGCTGGCTGAGAGGGAAGTCCGTCTGGTCTCGGTGTGACGTGCCCCGGTGGCCCGTCCCCAGTGGTGGCCGTGGAGGAGGAGCCGGTGTTCGGTGTACCGCTGGCGCTGGCGGTGGAGCGCAGCAAGTGTCACGATGGCGTACAGCTGCCGGCCATCGTCCGAGAGTGTATCGACTTCATCGAACAGAACGGTAACGGCCAGCCGGGCCCAGTGATACTCACCAGCTCCCGTGGGTGCGGAGAGGCCCCGAGTGACAGGACAATGGAGTGGTGGCGTGAGCACACACGTTATGTCCTTGGAGAGCAAAGTGGAGGCCAGCTGGGACTGCATAACGTCTCGTCCAGTTGTAAATGTTTGAGTAATTGTCACAACAGGCCGTTAATTTTATTAAAGCACGGTCTCTTGTCAGATTTCCAGATTCTCAACCTTCTTGAGCCACAGTGGCGCCTTCAAACCACGTTTTCGCGCCGATCCACGCCTATTTAAGCGCGCATCGGCTGCCTTATTTAAGCGACATTGCTGCATGGCAGTGCGTGTTCGGACGGCCGTGCTGCCACCTGTGTGCGGTGTTCCTGTCGTGGTGGGGACGCGCCCTCCCACCGATGTGCGGTGTTGCGGTCGTGGTGGGACGTGCCCTCCCACCGATGTGCGATGTTACGGTCGTGGTGGGACGTGCCCTCCCACCGGTGTACGGTATTACGATCGTGGTGGGACGTGCCCCCCCCCCCCCCCCCACCGATGTGCTGTGTTACGGTCGTGGTAGGACGTGCCCTCCCACCGGTGTGCGGTGTTACGGTCGTGGTGGGACGTGCCCTCCCACCGATGTGCGATGTTACGGTCGTGGTGGGACGTGCCCTACCATCGGTGTGCGGTGTTACGGTCGTGGTGGGGAGTGGCCGCCCACCGGTGTGCGGTGTTCCGGTCGTGGTGGGACGTGCCCTCCCACCGGTGTGCGGTGTTACGGTCGTGGTGGGACGTGCCCGCCAGGCCTGAACTGCGAGGGCATCTACCGTCTGTCCGGGGTCAAGTCCAAGGTACAGCAGCTGAAGCGCGGCTACAACTGCCGCGACGCCGTCTGCCTGTACGACCACGAGCCACACACGGTGGCCAGCCTGCTCAAGCTCTTCCTCAGGTACGCCCGCTCACATGTTCGCTGCCGCTGGTGACGGTGCATCAGCTGTAGCGCTGAAGGTGCTGAGGATCGGAGGACGCGCCCGATTAGTGTTGCGTTTGGCCTGTGGAGGCACCACTTGGGTGAATTGTAGTGTTGTGGAGGCCTGGCCAACGCCTTGGTAACGTGTAGGTTTGCTGCTGATACCCGGCCTCTGTGTTTGGCGTTAGAAAAGATCCTTGCTTTACATCTGTGCTGCTGCTGCTGCGGACCTCATGCCACTCACTTGAGCTGACCTGACCTGACCTGACCTGAGAGGGTCTGAGTGAACCGGTAGTGTTGTGATTAAACGCACGTCTCAGAAACAGGTGGTACGGGGTTTGATGACTCGCGGTACCCGCCCTTCCCGACAGGGTGCGAGTCAACTTGTCGCCATAAACATCAGCAGCTGAGTGCGCCGTAAAGCCGCTATGACGTTACGTGACGACCCGACCTGATGTCTGACCTGACGTGTGACCTGACGCCTGACCTGACAGGGAGCTGCCGGAGCCGGTGCTGACCGCGGAGCTGCTGCCGCTGTTCGACAACCGCCGCCGGCCAGAAGGACCCGGAGCGCCGAGTCAAACAGCTGAGCGTCCTGCTGGACCGGCTGCCAGCTCCCAACCGGCTGCTCGTCCAGTACATGTTCAAACACATGGAGCATATCATCAAGCGGGTGAGCTGTGACGCGGAGCCGGCGCATGGCACGTGTGTTCCTTGTTCCGTGCTGCATGAAACATAGAGTGTGGAACAACATCCGACTTGGAACACTTTGGGGGGGGGGGGGGGGCAGTTGGCCTGGAAAGTTGATGTGGAATGCTATCGATGTGCCATGTGACCTGGGACAGCCACCGGCTTGCCTGGAGTACGTGACACTGAAGAGCTGACTTGAAACTCCAGATGTGGAGCACGTGTCCAGATGGCCTGACCCGGACCTGGAAGACAAGTCCGGATTTCCTGACCTGAAACACCCAATCTGACCGCCAGACCTGGAACGTTAGATATCGAACGCCTGACGAGGAGCCCTTGACCGAGACAACAGGTGCTGACGACACCCAGCCTGAAGCGTGCATGGGCCTGACTTGCTTGTCGGCAACTCTTCCGAACTGGTGCCGACTAACCCGCCTCGACCGGTCGAACCTGCGTCTCTTGTCTTAGCGTTTTACCAATGTATTTCAAATGGGATCTCTTCCTCAATTCACTTGTAGCTTTGTTCGTTTTGGCTCTTCGACGCTTCTGCGATCATTTTCTGCGTGCTCACGTGTGGGACCTGCAGAGCGCTCGGCCTGACATGGACTGTCGGCCTGCTCCACCGCTGGGGGTTGAAGCTTGTGACAGTGGCCGGCGCGTGGCTCGCCCGGGGGGCCTGTCGGCGGGCGTGGTGTGATCGGCAGGTCGCTGGCGCTGTGGCATGGCGGTACCCAGCTGTCGTCCGCTGGTAATCGGTGGCTCCTCTTACCAATGTTGATGACGTTATCGTTTGTTTCAGGAAAAAATCAACAAGATGAACGTACAGAACGTCTCCTTGGTGCTCTCCCCGACTATGCAGATATCGCACAGGGTGTTAAACGCGTTCTTCCTGTACGGGAAGATCCTGTTCAGCGGTGTGTCGATAAAAAAGGTGAGGTGGATGTTCCCGTTATAATGAGGCAGTGGCTTTGCTGACATACTCCGTCACGGCCCTCAGCTGCCTGCCTATATCACCAAGTCTATCGTCGATAAATTGTGTGACATTCCAGCACGCTGTAAAAGGATTCCTTGGTGATGTGGTCGCTGGCAACAACTATATTAAGCGTAAATGTAAAGCTATTCAAGCTATGCCCTAGTGGCACGCTTGTCAATGCAATGGAGCGAGTGCACAGGTAACTATCCTGTGCTGCGTGGTGTTTGACGGTTGATAAGACGCAAAGGTCGCTGGGAGGACCTTGCCTCTGATCTGCCCTGCCGGGTGGTGACCTCTGCCCAGTCCTGCTGGGTCGTGACCTCTGTCCTGTCCCGGGCCGTGACCCCGGTCTTGCCGACCCCGGTGACCGCGCCCCGCCGCCGACCAGGTACGTGCCACCGATCGCTGACGGCGAGCTACCCGACTCCGCCGACGCCATCCGAGAGGAGATCGAGAAGCAGGAGTCGCTGCTGGCCCAGCTGCACCGCGAACTCAAGGCCGGCAGCATCAGCCAGCGCCGCGAGGAGCAGCTCTGGGAGGCGCAGCGTATACTGACGCAGCTCAAGGTACGCGGCGTACTGACGCAGCTCAAGGTACGTGGCATACTGACGCAGCTCAAGGTACGCGGCATACTGGCGTAACTCAAGGTGCGCGCCATATTTACGCAGCTCAAGGTACGTGACGTACTGACGCAGCTCAGGGTGCAGGCATACTGACGCAGCTCAAGGTACGCGGCATACTGACGCAGCCCAAGGTGCAGGGATACTGACGCAGCTCAAGGTACGGGGCATACTGACGTAGCTCAAGGTACGCGTCATACTGGCGTAACTCAAGGTACGCGGCATACTGGCGCAGCCCGAGGTAGGCAGGCTGCTAACGCAGTTTGGGATACGCAGGATATGCACACCGAAGCGACACAAGGAACGCTTGCGAAGGCGACCCGAGTTGCGCGGCCTACGGACGCAGTCCCATTCGTGCGCAAATAACCTGTGCTGTTGACGCGTACTTAAAATCAAACGGCCACCTACTTCTGCTTCAATCCAAGTCAATTACTACTGCCTCAGAACGTATTTAGCCGGCTAACGCACTCGAAGGTTCGCCAGCTGGTGCGGCTGAAATGTTTACGTGTATCAAGGTATACCGTATACACACGCAGCTCAAGGTTTACGGTTAAGGTATGGGCGCAGGTCAAGTTACACGGTATAGGTACGGGCGCAGCTTAAGGTACACGGTATAGGTACGGGCGCAGCTCGAGGCACACGGTATAGGTACGGGCGCAGCTCGAGGCACACGGTATAGGTGCGGGTGCAGCTCAAGGTACACGGTATAGGTGCGGGCGCAGCTCGAGGCACATGGTATAGGTGCGGGCGCAGCTCGAGGCACACGGTATAGGTGCGGGCGCAGCTCGAGGCACATGGTATAGGTGCGGGCGCAGCTCAAGGTACACGGTATAGGTACGGGCGCAGCTCAAGGTACATGGTATAGGTACGGGCGCAGCTCAAGGTACACGGTATAGGTGCGGGCGCAGCTCAAGGTACACGGTATAGGTGCGGGCGCAGCTCAAGGTACACGGTATAGGTACGGGCGCAGCTCAAGGTACACGGTATAGGTGCGGGCGCAGCTCAAGGTACGCGGTATAGGTACGGGCGCAGCTCAAGGTACACGGTATAGGTACGGGCGCAGCTCAAGGTACATGGTATAGGTACGGGCGCAGCTCAAGGTACACGGTATAGGTGCGGGCGCAGCTCAAGGTACACGGTATAGGTGCGGGCGCAGCTCAAGGTACACGGTATAGGTACGGGCGCAGCTCAAGGTACACGGTATAGGTGCGGGCGCAGCTCAAGGTACACGGTATAGGTACGGGCGCAGCTCAAGGTACACGGTATAGGTACGGGCGCAGCTCAAGGTACACGGTATAGGCACGGGCGCAGCTCAAGGTACACGGTATTGGTACGGGCGCAGCTCGAGGCACACGGTATAGGTACGGGCGCAGCTCGGGGCACACGGTGTAGGTACGGGCGCAGCTCAAGGTACACGGTATAGGTACGGGCGCAGCTCGAGGCACATGGTATAGGTGCGGGCGCAGCTCAAGGTACACGGTATAGGTACGGGCGCAGCTCAAGGTACACGGTATAGGTACGGGCGCAGCTCAAGGTACACGGTATAGGTACAGGCGCAGCTCGAGGCACACTGCATTCAGAAGCAGCCGAAGGCACGCGACAAGCTGACGTGACTCAGGGCGCGCCGCAAATAGTCGCCAGCGCCGCATGGCGTGTCTGAAGGCACGCGGCGAACTGACGCGGATTAAGGTGCGCGGCATGCTGGCAGAGCTTAAGGTACAGGTACACTACGCAGCCCGATGCGTGCATATTGACGTGGCCCGGGCTGCGCAGCATACCTGCTCGGCTCAAGCTACGGGGCGTACTGGCCTGGCTTTAGTATACGGCTTTCTGATGCGGTGCAGGAAGGAGCGTACAACGGAGATGGTTCAAAGCGTGCGGCATGCTGATGGGATCGATGTCTGATAATGATACAGTTCAGGGTACGCTTACGGACGCCGTGTTCCCGGCACGTGTGCTGACGCAGCTCCAGGAAAGCCCTCCACTCGATGCAGCACTCATCATTACGGATGCAATCAAGGTCATGATGTATCCTGGTGGACGCGTCGGACGTAGGTACGAAATTCAAAGCATACGTACCGATCGTCACCTAGATTACGCTTGTCTGGGTCCATGGTGCGCGAAATGGGGACGATGGGTTGTTCGGTCATGTCCGCTGTCTCATTGCGCGCTTTGGCGATCATGGAGTATGTTATAAGCCGCATACCGCATACTGCGGGCTGCTGCGTCGCCAAAATTATCCACTTTGCTGATAGACAGTGTGTTTCAAAACTGACTGGCTGACTGACAGGAGCGTACCTAGGATTTCACAATGGGTGGGAGGTCCAACGTATTTTTTTTTTTACTGAACACTAAGTGTAGCGTGTCGCAGTCGGTCGAAATTTCTTGGTTGGCGTAAAATGGCAACGTACGCTCTCCATGTTCTTATTTTTGCGTGTCTGCCGGATATCTTAGCGTATGAACGTTTGGTAGCGTGCATGTAAATACATGCCATGACTGTCGAGCCCGGCTGTTGTGCTGAACGTGCTTCTTACCCATCAGCTGGATCGGATTTACAGGGTGATGAATACGACACGCTATGATATAGATTACATATCAGACTTTCAAAGCCTTCATCAGACCAAAATTTCGTCAAAATACCGGTTGCTTTGCTGATGGTGCTCTGGTGACTCCCAGTTCAACATCTCATGTCTGGTGGAGATATTGTGCGTGGACATAGAGGTGTCGCATATAAACGAGGTCCCCGGTCGCTCTCGCACACTCGTCTCCACGCTTGCTTCATATCCGGCGTCGGGCAGATCTATGTCGGTAAGCAGCGCTCGTCCACCCGCCCCGGCAGAGGCGGCAGCGGTTCGTGGCCAAGCGACACGAGTCGGAGGCGTCCGGCCGGCGCGGCGACGACGAGCCGCCGCCGGCGCCGCCGCTGGAGCCGACGGCGGCCGACGGCGCCGCCGCGCACCGGCTGCAGCGCACCGTGCACATCATCAACGAGGATAACGTCACCGTCATCCAGATCGGCGAGAAGGCGGCGCCCGAGCGGGGCACGGGGGCGGCGGCCGAGCCGAGAACGGAGCTGGCGACGGAGCCGGAGCCGGAGGCGGTGACCAAGCCGAGGTCCGAGTCGGAGTCGGAGCTGGAGCCGGAGCCGGAGCCGGAGCCGCGGCCGGCGTCGCTCGCTGAGGAGCAGGCGCCGCGCTCGTCGCTGCCGCCGCCCGGTGACGAAGGCCAGGCAAGCTTCAGTGACCTGCACCGGCGGGTGGCGGCCGACCTGGCGCAGCCGGTCGAGACGCCGGCGGCCGCGGAGAAGAAGAGGGCTGACGGTGAGCGGACGGCGGCTGCAGAAGTGCGCGGTTCGTGGGAAAGGCCGGGCTTGAGCATCTGTGTTATGGCTAGCGTAGGTCGGCACAGTGTATAAATCTTTCGTGCAAAGCCAAGCCACCGAGACGCATGGCTGCAGATGCACATTTTAGCCATTAATTCAAGCCATCGCTCCGTCCGCTGAAAGTCGTATTGATGTCCGAATTGTTGGCCGATAGACTACAACATGACAGCCTTCGATGGGGCTGCAACATGGTGATCTCCGGTTGACAGCCACTAGGCGGCCTCCAGCGGCGCACGCATCGTGCCGTGAGAGACTCCAATGACGGCTATCTGCTCCGACAGAGTGGCCCACGCCCGACGTCTTCGCGGCGGCGCCGGCCGGCGCGGAGCCGGACGCCACGCGGGCCGAGACGGCCGCGCTGCTGCGCGAGGCGATCCTGCTGAAGCTGGAGGAGGACGAGCTGCAGTCGACGAGCCGGGAGCTGCGCAGCCGGCTGGCGGCAGAGCGCGGCGAGATCGGGCGGCTGCGCGACACCATCCAGGAGATGGAGACCCTCTACAAGTACAGGTGGGCGGGAGGCGCAGGCTGACGTTGACGTTGACGTTGACTTTGACGAGATGCGGGTTGATGTCGTTCAGTGTTGGCAGATGTAGGCAAACCCCCTCAGGAGACATCGCAGGATGGTCGGAAATGTTGGCAGATGTAGGCAAACTCCCTCAGGAGACATCGCAGGACGGTCGGAAATATGCAGCAGAAGTGCTGACTGGGGTTGACGATGGTGTGGAGTTCGTAAAGGCATGTTTGTGGTACCGAATGCTGGGTGGACGGAGTGACCGGGTGTGCCAGGAACGCCTGTTGGCTCGCAGTCACGTCGGCACCGTGCGTTCTGTTTCAGAACGTACTCTGTGGACAGCAGCGACGACCCATCTGGCGAGGACAGCGACGACAGCGACACAGAGGAGGACCTGGTGAAGCAGCTGCTGGAGATCGCCCGGCACAACCAGCAGTTGGAGGTCGGTCCGCGCCTTGGGATCTGTGGAACCGCTTACGGGTACCTTTTGTCACCGAACGTCACGTGTGTTCGCTCCGGATGTGAATGCGCTTGCGTGCGCCGTGGTTCTCGGCGTTACGCTTTTAGGACGCGACCGGTAGCAGACACCTCAGGTCGCTACAGTTTCAGGATGCCAGCGCTAGCGGATGCCTCAGGTCGCTACAGTTTCGGAATGCCACCGTTAGCGGATACCTCAGGTCGCTACAGTTTCAGGATGCCAGCGCTAGCGGATACCTCAGGTCGCTACAGTTTTAGGATGCCAGCGCTAGCGGATACCTCAGGTCGCTACAGTTTCAGGATGCCAGCGCTAGCGGATGCCTCAGGTCGCTACAGTTTCAGGATGCCAGCGCTAGCGGATACCTCAGGTCGCTACAGTTTCAGGATGCCAGCGCTAGCGGATACCTCAGGTCGCTACGGTTTCAGGATGCCAGCGCTAGCGGATACCTCAGGTCGCTACGGTTTCAGGATGCCAGCGCTAGCGGATACCTCAGGTCGCTACGGTTTCAGGATGCCAGCGCTAGCGGATACCTCAGGTCGCTACGGTTTCAGGATGCCAGCGCTAGCGGATACCTCAGGTCGCTACGGTTTCAGGATGCCAGCGCTAGCGGATACCTCAGGTCGCCACGCTTTCAGGATGCCAGCGCTAGCGGATACCTCAGGTCGCCACGGTTTCAGGATGCCAGCGCTAGCGGATACCTCAGGTCGCTACGGTTTCAGGATGCCAGCGCTAGCGGGTGCCTCACGTCGTCGTTGCGGTGTTGGGACGCGACCGGCAGCGGGCGCCCCAGGTCGTCACGGTTTTAGAACGCGACCGGCAGCGGGCGCCCCAGGTCGTCGCGGTTTTAGAACGCGACCGGCAGCGGGCGCCCCAGGTCGTCGCGGTTTTAGAACGCGACCGGTAGCGGGCGCCCCAGGTCGTCGCGGTTTTAGAACGCGACCGGCAGCGGGTGCCCCAGGTCGTCGCGTGTCTTTGAATAGATCTCACAAAAATAAAAAGGTTTTCGAACGAAACCGGCAGCGTCCGCATGTGAAAAACTTCTGGAAATTCCGGAAATTCCTTAGCTTTTTCCAGGTTTGCAGATCTTCTCCATCCTGGCACGAACGCTACTAGCTGATCTGTTTTTTTATTTATTATCACAGATGGCTAAGGTCTGGCGGGCTTAAGGCTCTTTCAAGAAACTAAAAGTTTGTTGATTTGCTCTGACTAGGTTAGCTTAGCATGTGGTATAGGTGCTGATTATTAACACTGTGTGCCAGCCGCGGCGCCGTGCAGTCGCGTTCAGTCGTGTCCTGTTCGCAGGCTAAGAACGCCCAGCTGGTGCGCGCCATCCACGAGGAACGGCGCTGTTGCCAGAAGCGGCGCGCCCAGATCAGGTACCTGGAGCTGCAGGCTACCGTCGGCGGCCGCGGCCCGGACTGACCCCAGGTTACGGCTGGGGTCGGCCCGGACTGACCCCAGCTCACGGCTGGGGTCGGCCCGGCCTGATCCCAGGTCACGGCTGGAGTCGGCCCAGACGGACCCCTGATCACGGCTGGAGTCGCCCCGGCCTGACCCGGCAGCGGGTCAGGTGTCCTCGACCGGGGCAGACCGGCCCGCCGGGGCAGAGTGCCGCGAGCGCATGGGCAGAGTGCCGCGAGCGTCTGGGTAAAGTGCCGCGAGTGCCGGGGCGGAGTGCCGCGTCTCGGCTGCCGCCGCCAGTCCGGCCGGCCCGAGTCACAGACTCTGAGGCGGGCGGCCGAGGCCCGCCGGATCGGCGAGATGGGGGCGGCGCTCACGGCACGCGTCGGGCCCAGCTGTACCGTGGAGGTTTAGAGTTGTGTACTCGCGCAGCCGTGTCGACCATGTAGCGTTAGTGGAGCGCAGATATATTGTTTATTTATTTTTTTTATTTTATCGCCAACAGAGTAGTACTCCAATAACAGGCGAAGTCGTTTAAATAAAACACAGTAAACACACAGCACACGGTAGTATGAACATAACGAAAGGATAACATCTCAAGGCTAAGTGAAGATGCTAGAGATTGCAACACGTCGTGTCGCCGTGTGACGTCGCTTTAGTGCGTACAAGCGTCAGATACACAGGTACGTATGCGATTCGCGACAGTGTTGTGTCGCACGTATGCTTTTCGTGGCTTGGCGGGTTCGGAGAATCCTTCCACACAACACGTAACCTGGTCGCGTTATATGCCTATATGACATGTTTCCACTGACGCGTTACATTTCGTGTTGTTTCGCCTCGGCCTGGGGCGGACGAGGTTTTCACTGCTGCGCGTGGTGTGTGACCACAGCGACATGTTTGTCCGTCTAGTCTATCCGCCAGCTCCGGTGCGGTCGGCGGGCCCGCCACCGGGCAGCGCCTGGGGGTATGAGGAGTACGCTCTCGGCGGCAGTTGTTGACGTGTACACGGTTTATATGTATGTTGGTATGGCCATATGTCGTCCTGCGTGAAGCCTCTGTCCGTTGATGCTCCCGCGGTGTGTAGGACCTGAAGAATGTACCCTCTCGAAGGAATTGGTGGTGTGAAAATGAGCGCAACAGCGGACCCGTTCTTTAGCCTCAAGCACAGAACGAACTGATGACCATCCTTGTATGCGGTCGTTGATGGCTCAATGTTCTACATTATGCGCCCAGCTATAAGATATTGTGTTGGCATGCACATATTGACCTCAGCCCTCGAAACATCCCCCCATGTCCATTCCTTGGGGACATCAACCCTCGCCTGCACAAAACGGAGCTCGGCCAAGACGGCAGCCGCCACCATCAACTGCTTCACGGAAGTGGGCGGACAGCTGGCCCGGGCTCGGCTGACGAGCCGGCGGCGCAACCGCCCCGGCGCCGCGCCGCCGCGCCGCCCGCCATGTTGGCTGGGAAACGTGCCTGGCTCATCCGTGCGCATCATCGGGAATTGGCTCACAGCGCCGTCGCAGGACGCGAACGCGGTACCAGCTCGTGGTAGCAGGTGGCGCGCCCACAGAGCCTCAGCCGATGACGTGTGGTGCGAATGCAGCTGACGGCAACGGCCTTTGCCGTAGTGAGAGTACAAGGGGCAGCTTGCTTGCCACTCTCACATCTCCGTCAAAACCGCCGGCTGTGCAAAGGCGTGATCAGTTTTGTGTTCATTTATGTGAGCGGAAGTCCGGAACGATGCGCCTGAAATCACATAGAGTAGAATGCGGCGGTTGTACACGATGCTGGCATGGCTCGCTGATGCACATATACACGTGACGGGCGTGCTGGACGCTGGCGATGCGCTGACCCCGGCTCTGGTACTGCAGGCCACGGACAGGGATTTGAAAGCGCGCTGATTTGTGACGAACTGCGTCTCAGAGCGTTATTCAGTTAACGATTGAGTTTCAACAGCGAACTGGATTTGACAGCCGGCGTCTTTTTTTTAGCAGTTGATAATATTTGACAACTGCTTTGGTTTTAGAAGTCGGACTTGCGCTGCTTGAACTGAAACGGGTGGTGATGGCCTCCCACTAAAGTGTGGATCGATCATACTGTCAATGACTATACAATCACAAGGCGCACAATGCGTTACGAGGACAATCTCTCAGCCCTACTCAGCACAGTCGCGAACATACAAAACAAACCGCCCCTGGAGCTGACGAAACCATGTGCGTATCTACTGCCTGTGTAGGACCTCGACTGGCCGCCCGCACCGCAGCCCGCAGGCAAACTGGCGCGACCGACGTGTCGCCGCTCTCCAGACACGACCGCCGGAACCCGCGAGGACACGACCGCCGGAACCCGCGAGGGCGCGGCCGCGGGAGCCCGCGAGGACACGACCGCCGGAGCCCGCGAGGACACGACCGCCGGAGCCCGCGAGGGCGCGGCCGCGGGAGCCCGCGAGGGCGCGGCCGCGGGAGCCCGCGAGGGCGCGGCCGCGGGAGCCCGCGAGGGCGCGGCCGCGGGAGCCCGCGAGGACACGACCGCCGGAGCCCGCGAGGGGCGCGGCCGCGGGAGCCCGCGAGGACACGGCCGCCGGAGCCTGCGGGGACACGGCTGTCGGAGCCCGCGAGGACACGGCCGCCGGAGCCCGCGAGGACACGGCCCCGGCCGGAGCCCGCGAGGACACGGCCGCCGAGCCCGCGAGGACACGGCCGCCGGGGCCCTCCAGGATACGGCCGTCGGAGCCCGCGAGGATACGGCCGCTGCGCCCATGTACAAAAAGTCGTGACAAACCACACGGAATGGAATGCGCCGAGGCTCCAGCCCTCTTTGCCGGCCGACACCAGGTGGGAGGACAGGCGGGCCCATAGGCGGCGTCTCCGCCGGCTGACACCAGGGACAGGGGCCAGGGCTCAGGCGGTCAGGGGCCGCGCCCTGACGCTGGTTCCACTCGTGCAGCCAGCGGTGGACGTCGGCCCGGTACCGGCGCCGCCAGCGCACGTTCAGCTCAATACTCTCGATGGCCTGCTGGAGCGAACGCTCGGCGCTGCGCAGCTCTTTGCCGGCGAAGAAGGTCCGCACCTGTCGGCACGGCACAGTCTCAGGTGACGATACTGGCTTAGGGGGAGAGGGGGGGGGGGGAGGGGAGGCTGGCGTTCTACGTGGCGACCCATCTGTTGAGTCGCTCATAATACGGTGAGCAAAACAAGCAAGTCGCCAGTCTCACTTGTGATTGCAATTTAGCAAAGCGAGGGTGTCGAATCACTCCCGTTCTGATGATGATATATATATATATTATATATATATATATATATATATATATATATATATATATGTATTGGCTGATGCCAAAAATAATTCACAAAATAAACTCCGCCGTTACACTCAAAAGACAACTCAAGACAATGCCGTAACCAAAAGTGTATTCAAGGTTTTCGAGATCATGCACCGGCAAAAGGCGTCGACTAGCTCGCTCAGGAGGACAAACAAGCGCTCCAAGGGGCCAGTCCAGAGCCTGGCCGCTGCAGCTCGGCAGACCAGCGGTCCTCGAGTCTCGACGGGTTTTCGATGGCCGCGTCGAGTGACTAACGGCCGCCAGGCGGTCAGTACAGATGCCTGCGTGGCTGATGCGACGTGGTTGGGTCCCCCCCCCCCCCCCCCCCCTCTCACTTCGTCCAGCTCCAGCTGCGTGGTGAAGCGCGACAACCATCTCCTGGATCACGTTGTCCATCATGAAGGTGGCCGACGCCGACCTTCTGCATGATCTCTGGCCAGTGGAGCCGCACAAAGCGCCAGAGTCGCAGCCGGCCCTGCCCCAAGTACAGTCAGACCAATCGGAGGTCACAGAGGACAGCCATGGCTGATCCTGGACACGCACAGGACATCAGACAGAGGACAGAGCCATAGTCGGCCCTGAACACGTGCATGGCATCAGCCAGAGGACAGAGCCATAGTCAACTCCGGACACGCATACCAGATCATTCCGTCACTACTAGGCAGGTCAGACCATGCCAGACCATTCCGTCACTTATTGGCGGCCAGATTAACTGCGGTACACAGATGGCTAAAACGGCCCTCATCTAAGTAGACCGTGCTTTAAGTTGTACAATGTTAATGTCCCTGAAAGTCAAAAGAAGCATCGCGTTCCTGTTTTCATCCAAACGCATATGAAGTTATCCATTTAAATGACACTTGGCGTAAATGGTGTACTGCGTCGCATGAATGGCCCGTCATTTGTCCCAGTGGACTCTCGGACGCACTCATCGCCGGGGTCTGGACCACTTACCGCCTCGTTAGCCGCCACCGACTCGCCGACGCTGGCGAAATCCTGCGTCCGCACCTATCACCGGCCAGACTCCGGGCCGCATGCAGACTGCCGAGTGGACGCTGCCGTGTGACACCCACTGGCGAGGGCGGGCACACGGCCTGACCCCGAGGACACCCACGCGGCGAGGGCGGCACACGGCCTGACACCGAGACACCCACGCGGGCGAGTGCGGCACACGGCCTGACACCGAGACACAACCGCGGTGAGGGCGGCACACAGGGCCTGACACCCCGCGACAACAAACCGCGGCGAGGGCGTGGACACACGGCCTGATACCGAGACACCCACGCGGCGGAGGGCAGGCACAACGGCCTCTGACACCGAAGACACCCCACCAGCGGCGAGGGCGGCACACGGCCTGACAACCGAGACACCCACGCGGCCGAGGGGGCGGCACCGGCACACGCCTGACCACCGAGACACCCACGCGGCGAGGGGGCGGCACACGGCCCCTGACACCGAGACACCCACGAGGCGAGGGCGCACACGGCCTGACACCGAGACACAGCCGCGGCGAGGGCGGCACACGGCCTGACACCGAGACACAGCCGCGGCGAGGGCGGCGTACGGCAAGGCACGCGCGTGGCGAGGACGGCGCACGGCGAGACACTGAGACACACGCGAGGCGAGGGCGGCGCACGGCAAGACAGCGGGGCGCACGTGCAAAGGTACCGACTGTGCCTGTTTGGCCGCATTACCTCAATGATCGTAGCAGTGAAAGCAAACAGCCTCATGCTGCTACCCTGCACTCAGTGATAGCATACTCTGTATTTGGTAGTGAGCCCTTTCAACGTTTTTATAACAGTCACTGATAACAGCGTATGATAAAACATTGAGCACAAACTAACGTGGGTGATGAGGACAATGGTCCCAATACCTAGTCCCCACGTACAGACACCCCGTCTCCCATAATCCGTACGACCATGCTATAAAATTGAAGCATGGGTATCCTCGATCGCTTGATCGCAGAGACCCACTGCTGAG